ATATTGAATATAATATATAATTAATATATACTTATAATATAAATTATATTAATAAAATAAATATAAATATATAATAGAATATAATATTATAAATTATAATATTATATTATATAATATTATGTTATAATATTATTATATTATATCATATTAATAATACTAATATTATATATTTATATTATGCATAGCGAATAGTGATCAATAAAAAAATTATTAAAGATTAAGTTTATCTAATAACTTAATCTTTTACTTTTTAACAAAAAAATAAGAATTTTTTGTGAAAGATTAGTTTCTGAACTTCTCATGAAAAGTGTAAACAAACGCATAACTTTTTCAAAATATGAAATAATATTTTATGAAATAATACTTTCAGAAAAACAAGCACGGCCTAAATATTTTTATGTTTTCAGGATATATATATATTTTTTCTTCAGTTTTCACCACCATTATTGGGCTGTTTTTTGGGTTGTTGGGTGCTTTCGAGTTACAAGAAGAAGATGAATTTGATAAATTTGAGTTTGAAATTAAGTAATTTTTTTGTTTGAGAGAGGGAGAGAAGTGTAAAGGGGAAGATTGATAAAAAATGAGAATGAGAAAAATTGAGAGCTTTTATTGTTGTTCCTTATAGCTTTGCTCCCTCTCTAAATTGGTCAAGCCGATTCAAAATTACATGATTCAGTATTTTTAGCCGATCTAAAAATTATTATGAGATCGCTTAAGAATACAAAAAAGTTACAATCATCTCCAAATGTGAAATCGAGTTTTTTTTTTTTTGGGCAAGTAAATCGAGTTATATGTGTAGCAAAAGTATCAAAATAATTTCCTCACTATATTTAGCTTCCTATAATTCCATTCCCTCATAGGAAGCTCAAAAGGGGGGCCGTCATTGAACATAGATATAGGGGCATATCTGGTAAACCTCGAAATACTAGTACCAAAGATGATGTGCCGGCTTTTAACGGAGGGCGTACAAAACGGCCTTTTTGCCTCTTTTTTTTTCCATTTTAATATTAATAATATTTCCAGAAAATCGTCCTTTTTTTTTTTTTCACTTTGTTTTCTTAGTGTGTTTGGGAACGAATGCGGTGCCCTTCCTCCCGTGCCTGTTCCTCTCTCCCATGGATCAATGCATAAAAAATTAGGGTTTGGGTTTCCCCTAAACCCCACCCCGTTTTGGTGCCCCTTACCTGCAATTCCAGGGCCTAGCTCTAAATTAGAACACCAAAACAGAGAGCATTTCATCTAGGGTTTCCATTCTGCTTGGGAATTTGCAGAGAGGTTCTTTCTAGCTAGGGTTTCCATATTCTCAGAGGTTCTTTCTGGTTACGGTTTCATTTTCTTTGCGGAGGTTATTTACTGCTAGGGCTTCCTTTCCTTGGTGCAGAGGAAGGAGGAAGAGAGGCGGGTTAATAATGTTGAAGAATGGGACTTCGTTGAGGGGTACGGTGAGATTCAATTCGGGAAGCCCTGGTGATACAAACCCTAGTAAATCTTCAAAGGGTCTGGTGAATAATGCTGATTCTCGATCCCTTGTGACCACAAAGAAAAGGTCGGAGAATGCGTCGACTTCTGGGCCAAGGAGCAAAGAGACCAAGCTCACTGTTCAATCCCCTCCGGGTATATACCTTTTTTGAGCCTTAATTGGGATACTTATTGTTCTTTCTCATTAATTCATGCTCTCTCTACTTTGTTTACTTTTTGTTCCTTTGGTGGTATTTTTTTTGTGTGGTTTGAATGATTGAAATTAAGCAAAGCAGTTGCGTTTTTTTATTCCTCTTGCTGGATTTCTGGTTCTTACTCTTTTTTGCTCCCTTGTTTTTGTGTTAAAATTCTTTAGATTGTGATTTCATTATTTGGTAGGGGACATGGTTCCTCTTCTGTGTTATCCATTTCCTGTTCCTAATACTGGTTTCTGTGATGGTTCTATAATTGAAAATTTTCTTGCTGTGATGAAATTGGTGTCATATATGGGTGTGGTTTCTTTTGGCGTTTGGGTTTACATTTTGTAGGATTGCATTAGACATGAATGTCTTTTTGATGTAAAGGTTAACTTGTATTGAAAGAGAAAAAACTGTAAATACATAAGCTGAATCAGAAAAGACGGCAACCCACAAGTTGGGTGCTCAGAAATATAACAGATGCAGTACTTTAGAAATTAGAAAAGATTGAGCAGATAGAGGGAGAGAGATGAGAAGATAGAGGAAAGATAGAATTAAAATAAGGATCTATCACAAAAAGAACAATATATGAAACGATGTGGGGAGATGGTCTCAATATGCTTCTAATCCCTGCAGGCCCATGTAATGATATTCGACATGAATGTCAACATGGTATAATCATAATTAGAATATGCCATTGAAGGTGCTTTGGTATCTATGACAGTGGGTTAAGGTTACCCTTTCCTAGCAAAAACTTGAATTAAGATGTAATCTGGAGGTGCAGATAGTTTTTTTTTTTATAGTTAGAGGTGCAGAATGTTTCTAATACCCGATCCTTCGTATTTTTCGCTTTGTCAATTTTCTTTTACTCATTCGATGCTATGATTTTTGGGGCACCTCAATGCCCTTGTTGGTTTGTAGAATACAAGATTGTATAATTTTAGTTGTTGATATTACTGTGATGGTTATGGTTCTGCTTCTCTTCTGTGGGTTTTGTTTCAAAGTTTATTGTTGGATTCCTTCATATGGAGTAAGCTGCATAGTCTTATCATTAGTTGTGTTACTTTAAGCTTAGTTGTGTAGAGATGTGCTTGAGTGTTGGGCTAATGTTGTTTCTGGAACTTCCAAGAAGTTCATAGTGGAGCATGTGATGGTGGTTTTTGCATGGGAGACACTGTTATGGATGCGCATGGTATGCAGTTCATGGATTGAGATATTGCATTTTGTTCGTATTAACAGTCTTTGGATGATGAGTCAATGGGATACAACTTGTTATTCAATGGTTCAAGAGGGCAAGTGCCCACCCTTGGAAGATGGCCCATATATCTGAGGATATAAGTATTTAATGGTAGGGAATTGACCTTTGTCCACACCCCCGGTTGGAAAACAAAATTGCAGATGCTTTAGCCCAGAATGAAATGGGAGATAGGTCCTGTATGTGAGGTTGGAGCCTCTTCCCTCATTCTTATTTTGCTTTTTCTGTTCTCTTGCTGTCCCCAGTCGAGAATGTCTATGCTTGTATGCTCTTTGAGCAACTTGATGTAATTGGTTTCTTTATTTAACTTTTAGAAGGAATGTCTATGCTTGTATGCTGTTTAAGCAACTTGATGTAATTGGTTTCTTTATTTGACTTTCAGAAGAAAAAGAGGCTTCTCAAAAAGGGGGGGTAGGGGAGGAGAGAGAAGAGAGAGAGAGAGTAGGGTTAGGGAGAGAGAAATGGTTTACTTGCAGGGTGTCCTTTTGTTTTGGACCAAAATGGAGGGTTTACTTGCTCTCGTCCTGAGTTGTGGTTATTGTAATGCTATTGTAAGGATAATTGGAGTGTGGGGATGATTTCCTTTTGACAAATCTCAAGTGTGAATCTTTAGTTGATTAAGTTGAATATATTTATTATGTCATTTTTAGGGCCTCTATGATGCTTTTGTTACTGAAATTTGTATAGACTAGATTCTTTGCCGCAACTACAATGGAGATTTGCTCAGGAGCATTGTACTTTCTAATTGAATACAATGATTTTTGTGGGAAAAAAGCCGTGTGAAAAACCATTGCGCCATGTTCCTTTATGCTATTTATTTAGTAACTTCTAAGATATGTGACAGTTATATCGACGTGGAAGAGCCTCATGGAGAGGAGGATAAGGGATGACAAATGGGAAAAGTTTGCTAAGAGGGATGCTGCCATTTGCAGCATAAATGCATTCTCTTGTTGCCATGGCCATTGAGAGGTACTCTTGTAAGAAAGGGTTGTTTATGGATGGTGGGGATATGAGAATAACAACAATGTCCATTTCGTGCTTATATTTGGAAATGATCTAAGAATTCTACGTGACAGATGAACTGGATGGGGTTCTTGGACATTTCATGTACTTGATGGCAACTTGATTTCTATGAGATATCAAACAATATGAGGATCTTCACAAGAGTCTCAAATCTCCAAAAATGTGTTACTCCCCTTCCTTTTGTAAGATTCCAAGTTGTTGACCTTGAGCAAGAAGAAATATGCATCAAGGCCTGCACACTTTATTCCCCGTGCCTTCCGAGTCTAGAATTAAAAGCATAGGCCTCCCCATGCCATGGCATTGATGTTTACAAACCTATGTGTAGCTTGGATTTTTTTTTTGATAATGTTAACCTTTAATATATGAGAGAGAATAATCCTTGGCAATCCACAAGCGAGGATGCTCAAGGAGGAGAAAAAACAAAGAGCAGAATCAAAATCCTCTTTTAAGAGGTTACAGTGAGGCACAACAACCTAGGAAAACATGTTGATTCACAAAACGCAAGGAAAGGCCAAAAAAACCAAACTAACAGATCTAAATGTTATCCATTGCCGTTGCTTCTTTAGCCAGGGAGTCAACGTCCTGATTTCCTTCCCTCCATGTATGCATCCACACGATGGACATATTCCTGCAAAGATTGTCAACCTCATTGAAGACGTGTGCCAAGGACGAAGGAGGGGTGAGGAAGAAAGAGATTGTGCCCAGGTGATGGTACTCTTGGAATCACCCTCCACCACAAGCAAATGCAGTTGAAGGGGTTGTGTGAGTTTGAGGCCTTCCAGGCGAGCTACTGCTTCAGCCTCCATGGAGCCATTGTGGCCAATATATTTAGATGTTGCAGCCACAGTAGTACCGAGGTGGTCTCTGAGAATTGTTCCAATACTTGACGGGCTGGGGTTGCCAAGAGAGCACCTGTCAATATTGAGTTTTAGGGTGCTCGGAAGGGGGGTGGGGAGGGGGGGGTTTCCATCGGGAAGCCCTTTGCAGGCGCGGTTGATGGAGTTGAAGGATATTTGTCTAGTCTTGGCTGAAAGTTGTGGCAGCAACTCCTTTGAAATACTGATGATTGATCGCCCAAAATATTATCATGGACTTGAGCTTATTGAAAACTTTGTAGCAAGTTGAGAATTCCTCCCTGAAAATTCTGCTGTTGTGCTCAAGCCAGATGGCCCACAAAGCGGCTGCCACCGTTGATTTCCAAAGGAGAATTCCAGCCTTTTGCCAAGGGTAAGGTTGGATGGAGGTGAGGATGGAAGTCACCTCTTCTGGTAGCACCCATTGCACATTAACCAGTTTGAGGATGGAGGTCCGAATGTTAAAGGTGAATGGGCATTGCAGTAGTAGATGGTCATTAGTCTCTTCAGCTTCGAGACACATGACACATCGATTAGGGATCGGGATCCCTCTTCTTTGCAATTGATCAACAGTGAGGAATCTCTGGGAGAGGGCTAGCCACATGAAGATCTTGATTTTGGGTGGGGCGAAAGAAGTCCATGCTTTGGTTGCAACAACGCTTGGACCTAGAGGGAAAGTTGGTGGGAGAGAGGCATTGTGATATAAAGAGGAGATCGAGAAGGTTCCCATCAGGGATAGAGACCAAATAATTCGATCTTGACTTGAGGGGGAGAGGAAGTTCAGCAGACAAGGTGGCAAAGTTTCCAATCTCTAGGTCTGTGAGAGCTCTTCTGAAAACAAAGTTCCAAGAGCTAGATGAACCTACGAAAAGCATTTCTTGGGCTACCGTAGCCTCTTGCTTTCTGGCTAGAGAAAAAAGATAAGGGAATCTGTCCCTAAGAGGAGTATGACCCATCCAAAGGTCATGCCAAAAAAGGATGCGATTTCCTTCTCTTGGTAAAATCTTATGTGAGATTTGAAGGCAAAGAAAGCTGAGCAAATGACCTCTGGTTTGTTCTAAAATCCGGCAGCCAAGGAGAGTTTGTGTCTAAGGATCTCAAGCCACGGCTGGTTGTTTAAAGTAGATAGACTCTAGCACCATTTGCCTAGAAATGCCTTATTTTGGGTTCTGAGGTTCTTGATTCCCAGCCCTCCCCTTTTCTTGGTCTGACGAAGTTTATCCCTGTCTGTCTGGATGTTTAAGGCATTGTGCCTCTCAAAGCATTGTATGCATGAAGAAGCTTGTAGATATTGAGTATTGCATGTGTATAAACCATAATTGTTGGAAGCGCTTGGGAACCCGAATCGTTTTAGGAACCAAAATCGGTGAATCGTAGTCGGCTAGAAGATTATTGTCTTAGGAATTGTTGTCCATACAATAGGAATCACTAGGAATGAGATTCCTAGTTTTTGAGAATCGTGTTTCGATCGAAATAGATCCAAGTTTCATCCACCTATGGAATCGAGATTCCGTCCTCCTTGGAATCGGGATTCCCATCCCCCTGGAATCGACATTGCAGGAGTCAAGATTCTTTAATATGTGGAATCGAGTTTTCGACATGTATGGAATCGAGTTTCTGGCATATGTGAAATAAATATGTTGTTGTTTCGAATCAGGATTCTAACATATTTGAAATCAAGTTTTTAAAGTATATAAATCAAAGATCCATGCCAGATTGCAATAATATGGACAATGGAATGAGGTTGATGTCCCCTACCAGAAATCAAGATTTCCTTTTTATGGAGAAGGAAGCCACAAGCACATCTTGAGCCTCATCAACTTTAGAACCTATATTGGATGTCTCTTAGTAGAAGGTTTGTCGAATTTTAAAGTTATTGTGTTGACTATTGTACTTATGGTCATTATATACAAAAGATAAGTATTCTTAAATTGTGATTTTGACTTCATTATTATAAAGACAAAATAGGATTATGTCAACGCCATGGTTTTACTTTTAATTGTATGTGCTGTATTTACCAATTATATTTTAAATTTAAAGTAAAGGCCATTCAGGGTGGCACAAGTAAAATAATGAAACCCTACAATTACTAGAAGCATTCGAAGGAAGATTTTTACTCCAATTGACATGGAATCAAGATTTAATCCTCGCTAGAATCCTGATTCCACATATTTGAGAACGTCTACCCACAATTAATGGGTTCAAGTTTTCAAAGATGCGTTGGATCGAGATTCCGAAATTAAGGAATCGAGTTTCCTTGGTTCTGAAGAAAGATATTTAAAGATATGTCGAATTGAGATTCCGAAATTAAGGAATCGAGTTTCTTTGGTTCTAAAAAACAGTTTATGTGGAGGTTCCTTAACAGAAACGCAGAATCGGGTTTTGGAATTGGAAGCGCGAGGTCGGTGGAGAGATTCTGGTAACTATGGTATAAACTACCCAAAAAAGAAAAAGAAAAAAGAACATCGCACTTGTAGATGTTATTTTACCTTAAGTGCCTGCTGGAATGTTTTTGTCTTCCTCTTTTTTGGTGGGGCGACTTTGTAAATTCTGATCAAATATTCTATTGTAATTATGATATTTACAAATTAAGATCTTTATTGTGTTAGTTTTTTTATTTGCAAAATATTGAACTATTATCATTTGTACACTTTTGGGGGGTTAATTTGCTTGTCAGACATAAGATCATCATGTGAAATCTTATTGTATGAGTGGTTCTTGTTTTCATTGAAGTCGAAGTTATTTAGGCTAGACGATGGGGCACTAGGAAACTGGTGGCTTGTTTAGTCTGGTTTGGGCCCTTGGACTAGCTGGTCCATTGAAATGGGCCTGGAGCGGCGAACTGGTTGGTTCAATGTCTGGATCGGCTAGTTTACTTGTACAGGATTGCGCGAATGATTTTGTTGGGCTTTGAAAAAGGTCATTTTTTACCTTTATTTTTTGGTTTTCAATAAAAAGGGTTTTGTTTGTCCTTTTGGGTTTTTTAGGGGGGCATTTTTATAAAATGAAAGGTTAGTTTTTTTTTTTTGTTTGGGTGTAAAAAAACATTAGAGAGAGAGAGGGAGAGAGAGAGAGAGAGGAGGAGAGAGAGAGAGAGAGAGT